TTCTAATCCACGTAAGCCACGCATAAGGCGAAATTTAAAATTTATTATCAAACAATTTTAGATAAATGCCAAGCTATACCGTATTAAAAATGAATGCAATAATGAACGTGACATTAATATCATAGGTCGCAATAAATGAAAAGACGATATTATGCAGGATTCTCTTTGGCTTGCTGCCGAATTCTTTTATCATATGCCATACGGTCTTTTCTGTAAATATATATATTTTTTAAATTTATATTGATTAAAATAGAAAATAAAAAAAGATACTTTGAATTAAACATACTTGAACAACATGTATGCATCGGATTGAGCGGGACTATCAGGATTTGGCTCATCAAGAAGGTTCTGAACACCCAATAAAATCTAATAAAATAATAAAAGCACATTTAATACAATGAATAATAATTCACTATGGTTGTAAATCCACTTACTTGCTTAATAGTAATTGCGGGCTTCCATCCTTCTTCTTCATTTAAGATTGACAAACATACAGTTCCGGAGGGATACACGTTTGGATGAAAGAGGGCTGGTACGAATTTACCTAAATAATTAAATAAGGGAATATAAATGTTGTGAAGATTTTATATATTAAAAATAACATTGACTTTCACCCATAAGGAGCCATTTAACTGCTTCGCCGAAGTGATCATCTAGATCTCTTATTCAATTGTCCATTATTTTTTGGAAGACAGGCTTACATTTCGGAGGCTTGGATGGATAATCTATCATTTAAATCTATTAGGAATTCAATAATTCTAGTAAAATAAATTATTATTTTGTAAAAAGTTTATTTACCTTCTGGAAATGTCATCGTCATCTTAAACACGCCGTTTTCCCATGGTGTCTGTCACAATAATTGAAATTTTCAACACACTTCAATAAATATCATTTCTATACTCCGAAAGTAGGAACATTTTAAAGAAATTAAGAATGGCACTAATGATTTACCCCTTTTTTTCCTGGAATGCCCACTTGCCAGTTCAATAAGTCTAAGCCGTTGTCGGTTTTTACGGGACGCGCATAAAATCCCTATAAAAAAGAAAGAAAAATCGCAAAAGTTGATAAATAAAGCACACAAGAATATTCTCAGTTGCTTTTAGTAAAGTATAGATCTATCTTCTTACATATGGATGATCTTTTCTCCATTGTCGACGTTCTTCGGTGAGACGAGCTTTGCAAATTCCTGACATTTGGTACAATGTAGTATATAAATAGCAAAAACACAATAGAATAATCACAGAAGTTGGTTTGGTCTACAAGTTATAAAATGATAAAGTGAACTTTATGTGTTCGCTGGCCCGTTTGTTTTATATTTATAATGCTATTATTTTTAATGTACTGTATTATACTTTTTTTACACGTGGTTTGTAAATTATGATTGGTTTTTAATTGCAAATCTCAATAAAGGCCCTTTCTAAAATTGAATATGCCAATTTTGGGTATTGCCCATTAAAGCAATAGTTGGATATAAATAGTTAGCCGA